TTAAAGTGGGACAAATTTTTGCATCAGATTGAAAAAATAACAGTTTTATCGAGATATAGTTACATACCACACAATTCACCCTTTAAAGTATGCAATTCAGTGGTTTTTTAGTATAGTCACAAAGTTGTGCAACCATCAACACTAATTCCAGAACATTTTCATCACCACACACACACAAAAAAACCCTTGTACCAGTTAGCAGCCACTTCCCACTTCCCCCTTCCCCAATGCCTGGCAGCCATAATTTACTTTCTGTTTCTATGGATTTGCATTTTCTGGACATTTCATATAAATGGAGTCATATAATAATGATACAATAAATGACCTTTTGTGTCTGGCATTTTTTCACTTAGTGTAATGTTTTCAAGTTTCATCCACATTGTAGCATTGTATTGGTACTTCTTTTTTACGGCTGAATATTATTTCATTGTATGTGTATATCACACGTTTTCCGTTCATCAGTTGCCATGTTTTCACTTTTTGAATTCACTATTGTGAATAATTCTGCTATAGACATTCATGTGCAAGTTTTTGTCAGCACCACGCCCTCCCAAATGAGCTAACCAGCCATCCCCATATGGGATCCGAACCCGTGGCTTTGGTGTTTTCAGCACCACACTCTCCGACGTGCGCCACGGGCCGGCCCTTTCATGTGCAAGTTTTTGTGTGGATGTATGTTTTCAGTTCCCTTGGGTATATACCTAGGAGCAGAATCACAGGTCAAATGATAACTGAGTTTAACATTTTGAGGAAGTGCCAGATTGTTTTCAAAAGTGACTGCATGATTTTACATCTCCACCAGAAATGTATGTGTTCCAGTTTCTACACATCCTAACCAATACTTGTTGTTATTTGTCTTTTTGATTATAGCTATCCTAGTGGGTATGAAGTGGTATTTCATTGTGATTTTGTTTGCACTTCACTGATGACTAACGATGTTCAGCATTTTTTCATGTACTTATTGGCCATTTATGTATCTTCTTTGGAGAAATGTCTATTCAGAACCTTTGCCCGTTTTTAAATTGGGTCATTTGTCTTTATATTATTGAGTTGTAAGAGTTCTTTGTATATTCTGGGTACAAGTCCTTTATCATGCTTTATATATGCTTTGCCAAAATTCTGTGGATTGTCTTTTCATTTTATAGGTACAGTCTTTTGAAGCACAAGACTTTTGAATTTTGATGTAGTCCAATTTATCTACTTTTTCTTTTGTTGCTTGGTTTTAGTTTCATGTCTAAGAAACGGTTGTCTACTTTAAGGTTATGAAGATTTACTCTTTTGTTTTCCTTGAAGAATTTTATAGTTTTTGCTGTTAACACTTAGGTCTTTGGTCCACTTTGAGTTTAGTTTTGTATATGGTTGAGGTAGAGTAGGGGCCCAGCTTGATTCTTTTGCATGTGGCTGTTCAATTGTCCCAGCACCATTTGCTGAAAAGATGCTTTAAAATAAAACAAACAAACAAAACCCCCCCACAACTTTTAATTATGGTAAGATATGCACAACAAAATTTACCATTTTAAAGTGTATATTTCAGTAGTGTTAAGTACAGTCATGTTGTGTAGCCAATCTTAAGAACTATTTTTATCTTGCAAGATTAAAACTCTATACCCATTAAACAAAAACTCCCCATTTTTCCTTCTCCCTAGCTGCTGGCAACTACCATTCAATTCTCTGTCTCTGAATTTAACTACTTTAGGTACCTCATGTATGTGGAATCATAACAGTCTTTGTTTTATTTTATTAGTGTAATGTCTTCAAGCTTCCTCCATGTTGTAGCATATGTCAGAATTTTCTTCCTTTAAGGCTGAATAATATTCCATTCTATGTATAAATAGCATCACATTTTGTTTATCCATTCATCTGTTGGTGGATACTTGGGTTGCTTCTATTCTTTGGCTACTGTGAATCATGCTGCTGTGAATAAGAGGTGTGCAAATATTTCTTTGCAGCCTTCATTTTAATTATTTGTTGTGTGTACCCAGAAGTAGAATTGCTGGATCATGTGGTAATTCTATTTTTAGTTTTTTGAGGTATCGCTATATTGTTTCCCATAGTTACTGCATCATTTTACATTTTCACCAACACTGCATAAGGGTTCCAATTTCTCCACATCCTCATTTACACTTCTTATTTTCTGTTTTTTTTATTTTGATAGTAGCCATCCTAATAGGTATTAGGTGGTGAAGACCATTTCCCCCATTGAATTGTCTTAGCACCCTTGTCAAAAATCAGTTGACCATAAGTGTGAAGGTTTATTTGTGGACTCTGAATTCTATGCCATTGATCTGCATGTCTGTCCTTATGCCGGTACGACAGAGTCTTCATTACTACGGTTTTGTAATAACTTTTGAAATTGAGAAGTGTGAATCCTCCAATTTTGTTTTGTTTTTTTACAAGATTGCTTTGGCTATTTGGATTCCTTGCATTTCCATATGATTTTTAGGATTGGCTTTGCAATTTCTGCAAATAATCCAACTGGGATTTTGATAAGCATTGCATGGAATCTGTAGATCAACTTGGGTAGTATTGCCCTCTTAGCAATATTAAGTCTTCTGATGCACAAACATGAGATGTCTTTCCATTTATTTAAGCCTTCTTTAATTTCTTTCAACAGTGTTTTATAATCTTTAGTGTGTAAGTCTTTTACTTTTTTTGGTAAGTTTATTCCTAGGTATTTTGTTCTTTTCTATGCTATTATGAGTGGAACTTTTTTTTAATTGCGTTTTTGGATTGTTTGTTGCTAGTGTGCAGAAATACTATTGATTTTTGTACATTTATCTTGTGTCTTGCAATCTTGCTGAACCTGTGTATTAGTTCTCATAGTTTTTTTTTGTGTGTGTGTGTGGGTGCATTAAGATTTCCTACATGCAAGATCATGTCATCTGGCGATAAAGATAGTTTTATTTTTTCTTTCCAGTTTAAGTGCCTTTTGTCTCATTTCCTTGCCTAATTGCCTTGGCTAGAGCCTTTAGTACAAAGTTGAATAGAATCAGCATGAATGTATATCCTTGAATCAGATTTTTAATGTTTACTGGTTTGAAAATATTTATTACTGATAGTGCTCCTTTAAGAACTTCAAAATTTAGCTTTTTGTGCTCCTGTAGTAACAAAAGTAACAAAATTTCTTCTATTGGAATTTAGCATGTTATTTGTTTTTTGAACATCAGGCACAATAGATTCCAGCTTGGTTTTTTCCAAAACTTTGATGTCTCTGCTCTATAATTTTTTGAAGCTTTTTTTCTAAAAGTAACTAAAGTAAGCCACCTGTAAGACTTTTAAAAACACATCTTTAAACTATATGCCCTCTGAAGAATCATGCTTGCTGGATATATTAGAATAGAACGAGTAATCAGGACATTTATATTGTCACTAATAGTGCTGCTTTGCTGTGGCTTGGGTAAATGTAATAGATATAGTTGACAGTCTGAGATGATGATGGTGGGTAGAGTGAAGGAGAGGTGGTAGTTGTACTACTTTTGATAATTAGCTCTATACCCAACTTCTGAAGGGTTCATTTCCTTGCATAAGCTTATTCCATAAAGAAAGCCCCAGGAGTAACTATGCTATGCTTTATTCTTGACTGAAGATTTTCTTAGTACTTAGATATTCAATTCAGAGAATAGAATTTCTTTCTTTTATTGAATATTTCTTAATAGAGTCTATTTGGCTGACTTCGCCCTATCAGAAATATGAAATAATTATAAGAACTTGTCTATTCTCTGGATGCTTATGATATATGTAGGAAGATCAAGTACTGTATGTGTACTTACCTACATATACATACTTACACAGTATTGCTGTGTATTTGTGGTTCTGTGTGTATGTCTTATCTCCCTCACTAAATGTAAGTTCCTTGAAGATAAATATCTTTGTATTGACACAGTGTATATCACAGTGCCTCACATGTAGCTTGTGTTTATTATGATTTTTTAAATTAATAGAACAATAAAACGGTATGAGGTAGAACAATTAAATACTCAAGTATATGGCATAGCCAGTCAGTACTGTTGAATTTCAGAGATGACAATGATCGGTGTGTTCCAGATTTATTAGGGAAGGCTTCATGGAAGGGAAGGTAATTAAGTGGGCTCATAAAGGATGCCTAAGAACTGAGCAGAGGGAGAGAACATTTTAAGTGGTGTCTTAGTTTTGGAGGCATTGAGCAGATCATATTGACTGGAATAGAAGATTGGTATTGACTTAGAGAGAAGGGTGGATATATAAGTAGGTACATCCTATTTTGGAGGCCTTAAATACCAGTTTGAAAATTTTGCCCTTATGTAATTTGCCATTAGAGAATAATTGAAATTTTTTGATTTAGGAAGTTTTGGGGCAAAATAGTACTTTAAGAAGATTTACGTGGTGATAGTATGTATAATGGGCTGGAGGGCAACTGGTACTATGAGATCAGTTTAGAGGATATGATCATGATTGAATTCTTTTAGTCAATTAGCTCTTTAATAGCAACATTCTTTGTTTGATCTTTAATGCCTAGCATATTGCTTAGAGCAAAGTTCAAATGCTTATTCAGTGAATGAATGAATGTATGGACTAGGTGATCTGGGCCTGGATAGAGCTGTTAATAATAGGAAAAATCCACATGAGAGAAATTTTGGTGAAAAAATTTTAAAAACTTTTTTTCTAAGTGTATAAAGGGTATGTGTAGAGTCACAATGACACTAAAGTTTTGGCATGAGTTATTAAGGAATAGCAGTGCTATCCTTAGAAAACAGGGAGGTCAGCTAGGAGAAGAGGGGAGTAAGAGAAGGGACAGTCATGATCACGTTTTTAGACTTGCTGAGTTTGACTCTGAAATATGTAGTACATAGAGATTTAAGAGCTCAAATGAGAATCGAAGTCTGAATGTTTAAATTTGGATATCACTATGTAGATATTGTTGTTTGAACAGTAAAAATGATTGGATTGAAAGACTGTATTGTGTGCATGTTTGCAGATATTGTGTGCATGTTTGCAGATGTTGTGTGCATGTACACAAGTATACATACTCTTATACACTACAACTCAATATGTGTGTTAAATTGTCAACAAACTAATGTGCATGTTAGTATTAGCAGAAAGATGAGGACTGATTCTTGGTATGAACAAAGGAAAAAAAGGCAGCTAAAGAAGGAGACAGAAAAGAAACAGGTAGGAGAACTTACAACACAAATTTGCTAATGAGACTTTGTAATTTGTCTTTTGTTATAGAATACTACTAATAATAACAAAAGTATTTCTGTATCACTTGTTGAGTGTTTAGCATATGCAAATCACTGTGCTAAGCATGCTGTCTCTTTTTATCCTCACAACAAATCTGTGACGTCAGTACTATTAGATCCCCCTTTTACTGATGAAGAAACTGAAGTCTAAAGAAGTTAAGCCTTGCCCAAGATCACTTGATTTATTATTTCCTCATAAATAAGTAGGAAACCTTGTGGATATAAATTTAACTTTTTTAGCTCCAAGCCAGATAGATGTTCTTTCTGTTATACCAAAGGTATGTTTAATTTCTGCAAGGCAATGATTATGTCTATGCAGAATCAGTGTTCAGTAAGGTGTATTAATTAGCAGGCAGTGATTGGATGGTAATGTTTCCTATAGAAATTATCAACATACTCTTTGGATGTGGCTGCTTCTACTTTTCTATTTGGGTATTTATATTCATAGTGTATTAGGAGATAAAACATTTTTGGTTGCTTGTTGTGAATGTTAATTTAAAAGAGGATATCAGGGGCTGGCCTGGTGGCGCACTGCGCTAGTGCGCCGCTTGCGAAGCGCGGCGGCGCTCCCGCCGAGGGTTCGGATCCCACATACAGACCGGTTCCTGCTCACTGGCTGAGCGAGGCGCGGGGGCAGCACCAGGGGTTGCGATTCCGTTGCCGGTCCCGGTCCGGTACGGGGGCGACACTGAGGGTTGCGATCCATTGCCGGACACGGAAAAAGACAAAAAAAAAAAAAAAAAAAAAAGATGATATCAGTTCTTTTATTTGAAGAATTAATTTAGAAAGTAATTTTCAATTTTTTCTTAAATTAATATAAATTTCTTTTAGAAGTTTTTCTGGTGCATTCTTTAGAACATTCATCCATTAGCAAGGAAGTAAGAAGAGCCTGCCATTTTCTTTTATTTCAGGGGATATCATTTTCAATGCCCAATACCCAGAGCTGCCCCCCGATTTTATCTTTGGAGAGGATGCTGAGTTCCTGCCAGACCCCTCAGCCCTGCAGGTGAGTACTGCAGACCCGCTTAGGAAAACAAAGTTGACTTTTGATGTTGCTTAACAGATAAATTTGTCAAATGTGAATTTTTTTCTACCCCTCTTTCTCTGTTCTGTGAAATAAGTGCAATTCTTTATTTGCCAAAATAGTTGAATAAGGGATTTTTTTCATTGCAGTTTTACTTTGAGGCTATTTTGAGTTAATGAAAGTCTCTAGCTTAGCAGCTGAAATATTTTTACTTCAATTTAAAGAGACATGTTGAAAACATTTTCTTTGTTTCAACTTAATATTTCATGCCTGCACTTGATTTTCTAATATTTACTAACACTTCATCACAGTGCGTGTTAGGAGAGTGTTTCTTGGCACTTCAAGAGGCATTTTTTTGTATGGAAGCGAAAGTGGCAAATTTGGATTTGTATCTACATTATCTCAGTGTTATTATCAGAAGAAGTAAAGACCAGATTAAGTGTTCTTTATTAGGTAAAACCAAAAACTTTGTAGTTGAAATAAAATGTTTTTGGAATTAGTGCAGAAATGTTCACTAGTATGGAAAATGGTATATTTGTCAAAGCACATGTAGTTTATATAAAAGTTGTGTTTTGCATAGCTGATGGAGAAAAACATGTGTCATTTTGTTAAATGGTTCTGACCAGACAAAATGTCTCTTTCCCTTCTCAAATTCAAGTTTGCCATGTTGCCTATACTATAAGGGGTTTTATTGTTTTTCAAAACTATGTTCTTAGTTTTGTTTCTGGACATTTTCTTTGTCTCATTACAAGTAATGAAAAATTTTGATGATTTACTTTGAAATCTTGCCTCCTCCTTTTTAAAGGGGAAGTATTAAATGGGAAGTATTAAATGTGAGGTATTAACTCAAACCTAAAGAATTATTTTAAATTTTAGAACACAGCTCTAAAATTACTGTTGGCAAGAGTTGGGTGTGTTTCTTGTAAAGTTTTAATAATTGCACATAAGCTGTTATTTTATTTTATTTTTTTGTCCTTTTTGAGACCGGCCGCACTGCGCTCAGCCAGTGAGTGCACAGTGCACGGCCATCCCTATATAGGATCCGAACCAGCGGCAGGAGCGCCGCTGCGCTCCCAGCGCTGCACTCTCCCGAGTGCGCCACGGGCTCGTGTTATTTTATTTTTAAAAAATGTTAAGTTAAATGGCCCCTTTAGATGCTATGTGTTACATATTCACCCTGTGTTAAAGTTGGGGGGCTTGGGCCGGCCCGGTGGCGCACTCGGTAGAGTGCGGCGCTCCCACCGAGGGCTCGGATCCCATATAGAGACCGGTCCACTCACTGGTTGAGCGCGGTGCGGGCGTGACGCCGAGGGTTGTGATCCTGTTACTGGTCACGACAAAAAAGACAAAAAGGAAAAAAAAAAAGTTGGGGGGCTTACCTGGGGAAAATGAGGGAGAGTTGTCACTACTGACTTCTGCTGTATTAAATCTGCCCTGTGAAGGGTTAACATGTGCTAGCTGCCAAAGGTGTATTACAGACTAACTGTCCCAGGAATTAAGAAAATGGTCAGAAAAAGCTTTGTAGGGGAGGTGAGACTTGTATGAGGGTACTTTGAAAAGTTACTGGAAAAATAGAATTAAAAAATAATACAAATCTTTTCATGAACTTTCTGAAGTACCCTTATACTCATTCTTGAATAATGGAATAAAAGTGGTAAGTATGGCAGAAAGTATTTCAGGAGGAGGAATGTCATAAGCAAATATGAAGAAGCTATAACTTGTATATTTCAGAAGAAGGTAGTGCAGTTTTGCTGAAATGTACGTTAACATAAAGAAAGAGTAGAAAAGATTAGAAAGATAAATTGGGAAAAGATAGTGGTATGCATTGAATGCTGGACTAAGATTCATTGAAGGAAATGATAAAGGGAGAATCATTTAACGGCAATGTGGTCAATAAAACGGATTAAAGAGAGATTGAAGACCAGAACTGAGGATGGTTGTAAAAATCCAAGGGTAGGGAGAAGGGGCTTTGAGCTAGGATGATGCAAGAGGGAACAGCATGATGGAAAGGATAAGAAAGATGTGTTTACAACTTTTTGTTCTGGAATTGCCTTATAAAATTATATCACATATCTTCAATATTGCAAGTATTAAAAGAGTATAGAATTTTTTTTTTTTTTTTTTTTTTGTCTTTTGTCTTTTTCCGTGTCCGGCAACGGATCGCAACCCTCAGTGTTGCCCCCGTACTGGACCGGGGACCGGCAACGGGATTGCAACCCTCGGTGTTGCTCCCGTGCCTCGCTCAGCCAGTGAGCGGGAACCGGTCTGTATGTGGGATCCGAACCCTCGGACGGGAGCGCCGCCGCGCTTCCCAAGCGGCGCACTATCCAGTGTGCCACCGGGCCGGCCCCTAAAAGAGTATAGAATTTTAAAGCTAGAAAGGACCTTAAGATTCATCTTATTCTGTTTTTCTATTTCATGCGCCGCCGCGCTTCCCAAGCGGCGCACTATCCAGTGCGCCACCGGGCCGGCCCCTAAAAGAGTATAGAATTTTAAAGCTAGAAAGGACCTTAAGATTCATCTTATTCTGTTTTTCTATTTCATTGTTGAAGAAATTGACCTAGATTTGTGCAATTCTGTGTCAGAGCTGATATTATTATAACTCTACTGTTTTGATGTTTAGTCCCTGACTGAAGTTATCCCAAATGTTTTTGAGAAATTAGCTGAAAAAGAACAGCCAAAAAATCAAAGCACTAGATCTAAGAGAAAGGTTGCAAATCTAGGGGACACCTTCTCTTTAGTGATAGTTAATCTAAGGCCTCAGGTAGGGTACCCAGGGCTTCTTCATACACCAATGGGCTGGACAAACTCAGATAAGCAACCAAAGATTATCAACTCAAATAATCACCCTCAACTAGCTGCGTGATGTCTAAATAGCCCCGGAGGTTGCAATTGATGTTCATTGTCATCTGGTTAAAACACTGGGACAGGATAAACTACAAGGCCTGATCCCGAACATTTCTCTGAGCACAGCTTGTCTCGGAAGGACTTTTCACTCAACTGTTAACAGGCTATTGTATAGTTCTTGGATTTTGTTCAGACTTTCCTCCCTCCCCCTGCGGGTCCCCCCCCCCTCGCCTTCTTGAAGGGCTGAGATCTCAGACACTAGTAACCTGACTAGTCCACATATGGTTCTGAATGAAGGGGGATTACATATTTCTTCACTCATGGACTGGAAAACAGAATGCCTAGACTTCTCAGATTTTTCCACTGAAGTGCTAATTGCAAAAGGGAATGAATATGTACCCTTAGAATCTGGGAATGTAGTCTGTGTAGTTTCTGTGGCAAATATGGAATTTCTTTGAAATTTCTGGATTTTAACAATTCATGGAAATTTTGCATTTGACTCTATAACATATACCTGCATTTTTAAATGTAAAAATAAATTATAAATATTTGAGCAAAAAAATTTTGGGAATATATGTAATCTTTTATTTATTCAATTTATTTAAACCTATTCCTTTACAAAAAAAGATTTTAAGTAGCTTAAGTAAAGGGCACACATAAAGTTAGTAGAAAACATGAGGTTCTCTATCAGATGAAGCTACCTCTTTCTAAACTCAGACTCTTCATTTGGGGAGGTGAGTTCTATTAAGGAACTGATATTTTCAGATGAATGGAAAATACTAGATAGGCACCAGCTCTAGAGATAGATATCTCATAGATACCAGAGAATCATAAAACTGTGGAATTAGGACCTTAGCAGTCCAGTGGGTCTCAATTCTGGATATACATTAAAATAACATGGGAAGCCTGTTGAAATACAGATTCCTGGACCCCACTGGATCTTCTGAATTAGATGCTTTGGGGAACCCAAGAACTGTTAACTTCTCTGGGCTATTTTTATGTATTAGTGTGTGAAGTGTTGTTGGAACCACTGACTAGATCTATCTTTTATAGTAACATCTCCAACAGAATTCCATTTGCCTTTACTTAATATTACTTCCAGTGAGGTATCATTTTTCATTTTAGGGATAACTCCAATTTTTAAAAAATAACAGTTTTATTGAGCCATAATTTATATGTCATGCAATTCACCTACTTAAAATGTATAATTCAATGGTTTTTAGTATATTCACAGAATTGTGCAACTATCACCACAAATTTAGGACATTGTTATCACCCCAAAAATAAACCCTAAGGCCATTAGCAGTTACTTCCCTATTCTCCCCACCTCTACCCATGCCTACCCTAGACAACAACTAATCTGCATTCTTTCTCTATGGACTTGCCTGTTGTGGACATTTCATGTAAATGGAATTATATAATATGTGGTTCTTTGTGACTGACTTCTTTCACTTAGCATAATGTTTTCAATGTAGTGTGTATCACTATTTCTTTCTTTCCCTTTTTTTTTTTGCCAAATAATATTCCATTGTATGCATATACCAGGTTTTATTTATCCATTTGTCAGTTGATGGACATTTGGTTTGTTTCCATGTTTTGGCTATTATAATTACTGCTGTTGTATGGACATATTTTTATTTCTCTTGGCTATATCCCTATGAGTAAAATTGCAAGGTCAAATGGTAACTCCGTGTTTAACTTTTTGAGGAAGTCCCAGACAGTTTTCAAAAGTAGCTTTACCATTTCACATCCCCAGAAGTGTATGAGTGTTCCAGTTGCTCCACCTCTTCACCAACACTTGTTATTATACGTATTTTCGATTATAGCCATCCTAGTGGATATGAAGTAGTATCTCATTATGTTTTAGTTTTTGCTTCCCTGATAATTAATGATGTTGAGCATTTTTTCATGTGCTTATGGCCATTTGTATATCTTCTTTGGCAAAATGTCTATTCAGACCCTTTGCTGATTTTTAAATTGGGTCATTTGTCTTTATATTATTGAGTTTTAAGAGTATATACTCTAGGTACAAGTCCTTTATCAGATATATGAATTGTCAGATTTTCTCCCATTCTGCGGATTGTCTTTTCGCTTTCTAGGTAGTTTCCTTTAGAAGATAAAAGTTTTGGGCCGGC